AAAAAAAAAAAAAAATAATAAAGTAGTAAACAGAGAGCTGAAATTTAAGTTCAAGACAATCTCACTTAAGAGCTCATATCTCGTGGCCCAGTGCCTGTAGCTCAGCAGGTAGGGCGCTGGCCACATACCCCAGAGCTGGTAGGTTCAAACCCAGCCCGGGCCTGCCAAAAAACAATGACAACTACAACCAAAAAGTAGGTGGGCGTTGTGGCGGGTACGTGTATTCCCAACTACTCAGGAGGCTGAGGCAAGAGAATTGCTCTAGCCCAAGAGTTGGAGGTTGCTATGAGCTGTGACGCCACAGCACTCTGCCGAGGGCGACCTAATGAAACTCTGTCTCAAAAATAAAAAAAAGGCTCGGCGCCTGTGGCTCAAGTGGCTAAGGTGCCAGCCACATACACCTAAGGTGGCGGGTTCGAATCCAGCCCTGGCACGCCAAACCACAATGATGGCTGCAACCGAAAAAAAAATAGCCAGGCATTGTGGCGGGCGCCTGTGGTCCCAGCAACTTTAGAGGTGGAGGCAAGAGACTCACTTGAGCCCAGGAGTTGGAGGTTGCTGTGAGCTATGCCATGGCACTCTACCCAGGGGGACAGCTTGAGGCTCTGTCTCAAAAAAAAGAAAAGCTCATATTTCGTGTGCTGTATACCTTTGGCACATTTGAATATTGTGTCATGGTAGAAGACTCAGTGATTTAAGTTTATTTCAAAGTCTCTAAAACGCCATCCATTTTAAACTACACTATTATTTTTGGTACCACTAAGAAAGATTTTTAAGTACAGGTTAAGTTTTGCTAGTATTTATTTTATACTTACTAAAAAATTTCTGGACTTAGGGTACAGTTTTGTCATGCCAGAGGCATGCATATGGAAAAGGAAACATAACCAGACTCAATTGGTTAAGGCAATGATAACTATCTTGCTACCCCAGACTGCCCAAAAGCAGGTGATGTCATCAGTTGTTTTACTCCATTCAGACATAATAGCAAGTGGGAGAAATGGATATCTCAAAATTGATAAAATGCAGTATACCTCTAAGAACTGGCCCTTTTTCAGAGGTGAGGTATTTGTATTGGTAAAAGCAAACTCTGCTGCAGTACCTGGGCAGACCCTGAGCTCTGCAGGAGTGGGGGGCCCCTTCCCTACAGCCAGGGCAGCGCCTGGCCATGCCTAACCGCAAGGGAGGTTTAAAAACGGTCCTTATTTACAGAGGGCCCGAGCTCAACTAAATGAGAGGAAGACTAATATTAAAGGAAGAAGGAGAAAAGGATTGGGGGGAAAATTAGTATTAATATCTGCCACATTAGTCTGTAGCCTTGGAAATTATTTAGCAGTATTTATTTCATTTTGCAGAATTCATTCACATCAAAAAAGATGACCAGAAAATAGATTACCTCAGGAGGTTTTGGCTAGTAATATTTTTGGCTAGTAATGTAAGATTTTGACACCTGTTTATATCATTGCTGCCATGTTGAGGATTAACTCAAATTATTTAACTAAAAACATTTTGTGACCTTATAATTAATTTCTACTAACACAGATATTTACCTGCATCTTCTTGTGGGGCTGAGTTATAAATAAACCTCATGTCACATCATGTTGTCTTCTCCTGTTTTCTTCTATGAGCTGTTTGTGCTAATGTATGCTTCTTTCCATTTTTCCCTATTCTTTAATTTTTTCATTTTTTTATACATTCTTAAATTAACAAGATCATGATCTGATGTTTATTTTTCTAGTCAGAATTACGTAGCAATCTGTATGGAAGATTCATATCTGATAGCTATTTGTGCTTGAACAGAAGATACTAAGTTAAGGACGTGAAACCATCTGTCTTGACACTGTAATATTATTCCAACCAGAGGAATAAAGTATACAGTCTTTTGCATTTATCTTTTCTTGTGGTTTTGGTTTCCACTCATTATACTTTATTCATTTTTGTTATCCTAGGGTAAATAAAATAACTTTTGAGAACTGTGATTAACATTAAAGATTTTTAGAAGATTTAATTTTCCCAGAGTAGCTTGTTTTAAAAGTAAAAGACTTTAACATTTAAAAATTGTGTGCAAATGGAAGTTTTCATAATTTATTTCTCAGTAGATACAGTTATGGTTCAGGGTGTGCTTAGCAATTGTTTTCTAGTTAAATTGTTTGCAGATATTCCCTATATCTGAAATATCAGAAATTAATAGAAAGATTACTAATACGAGCCAATAATTCCATTTTTAGTAAAACCCTTTTCATAATATACTTATTTATTTTGTCTATTTTTTTGTTTGTTTTTGGATAGTCAGGGAAGAAAATAAACAGCAATCCAAATCCTCTTGTCCAAATGTCAGTTGGGCACAAAGCTCAGGAGAGTAAGGTAAGTAAGGTGCCAGCATGTTGACTGTTTCCTGCAATTGTCTTTGTTTGCTAGTGTTTGTCTGGGGGGAATGAGTTGCATTCGGATGGCATTCACGTTGCGGCAGTGTCAGTATCAAAACTATTGCTCTTTATATCTTTTCTTTTTTAAATCAATCATTGTCTGGATAACCATCTACTTAATTCAGTAACAGATAACATTAGAAAATAATATATGAAAATGCTCTTGCTTGAATTTATAAGAAGATACGTGGGGTAAATTCCTAAGTTCCTTTTGAGCACTCTATAAATATTTTGTTTAAAAGTTTACCAACAGTGCTTACAGTTCAACAAATACAACTAGATTTAAGAATTGAAAGGGAGGATTGCTTTTGTAGTTTGTTCTACCTCCCTGATATGAGAAAATATTTTAGAAATTATTTGGAGCTACAGGCCATTGTTCTCTTCTGTTTGTTAACAGTTTAGGAGGTGCGGGAAGGGATGCAGCTCTGCCCTGGGCACTAGGTAATCACCCAGGAAATCTTCCTCCTAGACATACCGGCTGGTTTCAGAGCAGTTAATTTCCCTGACACACTCTAAAAACTTTAGATTATGTCTCCATCTTTTGAACACTTCCCACGATTAATATGTAATAGTACATACTCACAAACATTTGCCGTGGAATTTAATTAAAATAATTATGGCTCAGTATGATGGCTCACGCCTGTGACCGGAGTGTTTGGGAGGCTGAGGCAGGAGTGTCCTGAGCCCAGGAGTTCAGACTGCAGTGATCTGTGATGGAGCCACTGGACTCCAACCTGGGTGACAGAGCAAGACCTTGTCTCTTAAAAAAAAAAAGCCATGCTAAGGTTCCAGACACATTAAGTGAATAAGCATGGCATGGGTAGCCATGCTTATTCTGCTTTTCACAGAAAATATTGCAGAACTAATATTTGGATATTTCTTCCAGATTCGATACAAAACCAATGAACCTGTGTGGGAGGAAAACTTCACTTTCTTCATTCACAATCCCAAGCGCCAGGACCTTGAAATTGAGGTATTTTATTTGTAGTTTTTAACCTAATATAATTGACGTGGAGTCACGTGTTTCAGGTGTCCCCCAGGTTTCCCTGTTCTCTGGGCAGCTCAGTCCAATACCCATGTGTCTTCTGTCCCTAGAGACTACTGTTCAAATTTATCAAAACTGCATATATGGGCTCGGTGCCCGTAGCACAGTGGTTTCAGCACTGGCCACATGCACCAAGGCTGGTGGTTCCAACCTGGCTAAACAACGACAACTGCAACAAAAAAATGGGCATTGTGGCAGGCGCCTGTAGTCCCAGCTACTTGGGAGGCTGAGGCAAGAGAATCGCTTAAGGCTCTGCGCCTGTGGCTCAAGCAGCTAAGGCGCCAGCCACACACACCTGAGCTGGCGGGTTCGAATCCAGCCCTCCCGCCAAACAATGGCTGCAACCAAAAAATAGCCGGGCGTTGTGGCGGGCGCCTGTAATCCCACCTACTCGGAAGGCGGAGGCAGGAGACTTGCTTAAGCCCAGGAGTTGGAGGTGGCTGTAAGCTGTGATGTCAGGGCACTCTACCCAGGGTGACAGCTTGAGGCTCTGTCTCAAAAAAAAAAAAAAATAAATAAATAAGAATCACTTGAACCCAAGAGTTTAAGGTTGCTGTGAGCTGTGAAGCCAGGGCACTCTACCAAGGGCAACTAAGTGAGACTTTGTCTCACAAAAAAAGAAAAAAAACGTTGTATATAGAAGGTCACTTCAGCTCTAGAACTCATTCTAGATAAAGTGCTACCTGTCCCACTGCTGAATGTTGCTGTGGTCCCCTTTGAAGTCCTCCCCTTGACCGTCTGATGACTGTAGCGACATCTGTCGCACTCTGTCTAGATGATCTGGACTGTGTAAATAGAATCACAGGATGGAAACTTTGAGTGTGTATTTTTTCATATTTTGCAGTGTTCTTTCTACCTTTTATTCAATTTCTGAAAGTTTGCTTATTGAGGTTCACCTGTGTTGTTGCAAATATCCAGACTTTGTTCTTTTTATTGCTGAGTTTCCAAATATATGTGTACCACAATGTACTTATTCATTCGCCCATCAATAAAAGACTAATAAGAGGTTAGATTCTTTCCAATTCAGATCTATGACAGGTAAGTTTGGTATGAATATTCGCACACAAGTCCTTGTGTGGACATGTGCCTCTTTTTTGTTGGGTGGATACCCAGGAGCAGAGTGGTGGGTATGTGTTTGACTTCTTCATGCACTGCAGGTGGTTTCTACGCAATCACGCTGGCAGTGCTCACACTGGCCACGGGACTACAGCCTACCTCATGCTGTAGTGCCACTACTGGGGGTGGTGTTGTGTGGAATGTCCAGCATAGACGCAGACGGCCTTGAGCATCTTTCTCTTATTTGCCACTACATACCTTCTATGGTGAAATGTCTGTTCAATTCTTTGCCCATTTTTTACTTAGGTTATCTATCTTCTTGATACTGAATTATAAGAAGTTTTCGTGTATTCTAGAAATAAGTACTTTTTGGATACCTTTTTTGCACATATTTTCTCTTAATCTGTGGTTTGGTTTTCCATTATCATTACAGTGTCCTTTGAAGAGCACGCCTTTTTTTGTTTTTATTTATTTGTCTTACGTATACATGTGTTTATTAGGTTTCCACTTTTGCCTTCATAGAATTAAAAAGGCTTAAAATGTAAAATCTAATAACAATAAGAATGTTTAGGGTGGCACCCGTGGCTCAAAGGAGTAAGGCGTTGGCCCTATATGTCAGAGGTTGCAGGTTCAAACCCAGCCCCAGCCAAAAACTGCCAAAAAAAAAAGTTTAACATAAGGACTAGAAACAAAAACCTCATAAAGAACGAATGAAGATAAATACATTCAGAAAAAAAATCAAATGATCGCTGCATCAAAATATTAAGCAATAATAATAATAATGCAAAGAAAGTAACATTCACATTGTCTGAAGAACACAAGTTTTTAAAATTTGATGAAGTCCATTTTGTCACTGTTTCCGTTTTAATCTATACTCATTATGTCCTAGTTAAGATGCATTTGCCTCTCTCCTCTCTCTCTCCTCTCTCTCCCCCCTC